GTCCCAAGGACCTAACTTCCTTTTACTAAACCCCACCTCCTAAAGTTTCTACCACCTCCCAATAGTGCCATGGGCTGAGGACCAAGCCTTCTACATGTGGGCCTCTGAGGGACTTTCAGGATCCAAACTATAACAAACACAGTCCTAACAGTAGTGTAAAGACTGGTGTGAATAGTACAGTGAATGGTAGTGTGAGTAGCGTGTAAATAGTGTGTGAACACTGGTGTGAATAGTGTGTGAACACTAATGCAAGTAGTGTGTGAGAATAGTATTATGAACTGTGTGTGAAAAGACCCTGAGTCCTGTTTTATTTTGTTTTTTTCCTGAGTTCTATTGAAAGGTGGGAAGGTCAGAGGAACTGCATACTAAGTAGGGTAAGGCAGCTGGAGAGGAGAACTAGGGCCCAGGTCTTGGGGCCGTGTGGGCAACCAGGACACTCACACCTGTGCTGTTTGCCTTGTCTAGGTGTCCATGGGAAACAGACCTTTGGTGGAAGAGATTTTCCCAGATATTTGAGGACTATCCAGGACCACCCTCACCTCCTTGGAGGGCCCTCCACTGGGACAAGAACCCTTATAGGGTATGGTTGGCCTGTTTTTCTCTAGGCCACTTTGTAAAATGCCAAGTGCTCTTGGGAGGCAGAGCCTTGGTCCTCTCATGGCTGAGTGGCTTCTGTGGGGAGAAGGGGACCAGGGGAGAGAAGGGGCCAGAAGGGTTGAGTGTGACAAACAGCCACTCAGGCTACAGCCAAATCCCACCTTCCAAAGGTTCTACTGTGAGGTTGGAAGTGTGGCTCAAGCCATAGCATGCCTGCCTAGAAAACACAAAGGTCTGAATCTGAAACATAATACCACACAAACACAAAAAAGAATAAAAGAAAGAAAAAGAAAAAATAAGTTGTTAGTACATGGACCTTTGGGGGACATTCATGATCCAACTGGGAGGTTAGCTTGAGGGAACTTTCTGGGATCGTGAGGATGTTCTGTGTCTTGTTGGGAGTCAAACACATTTCTCGTCATTTTTAAAAGTGTACACTTAACCTCCATTTATTATATATTAAATAGTATTAGAGAAAAGCAAAATGATGAGCACCATTAATGTGTCACTGTGACTGTTCTTACCAATCAATGCATGCTCCTATGGCTGAATATTGAACAGAGGTGAAGACAGAGCTCATCAGTGAGTACACCCATTGGGGTTGACTCATGACTGCTTGACATTCATTTTGGAGTAATTTTCACCCCACCTCTTGCTAAAAAGTACAGAAAGTGTGTTTCATGTATGCAACATAAACATTCAATATTTTAGGCACTCAATATTTTATCAGAGTCCTCTTCATTTTGTTATCACTGTATACTCTCCCTTAAAAGCAGAACATTATTTGACAATGTCTATAGAATTGATAAGGAGAGATTGTTAAAAGAAATGATCACCCCCCCCCAAGTTTCTGAAATAAGTGGGTTTAGAGCCTCTTATGGACCATTTCTAACACAATCCTTCACTGTAAACACAAGTACATCCAGTATATTTTTAAATTTCAAACATAAAGAGAAGTCGATACAATTTTACAGACACCATTTACCACCTCCTGGATTCTATCACTGACATAGTTAAAAACTGTTAGTACAGGCCTGAATAGCTAAAACCTGAACATAACATAAAATGTCCATGGTAGATAAAACTATCTGCAATAAGAAGGACAAATCTAACAAAATGGAGAAGACACAAAAATACAGATTATGGTCTTATTATGTAAAGTTAGTCACAGGCGAATCTCTTCTGTAAGGATGTGTAAATGCATGGTAAAACTAAAGAAAAGCAAAGAAAGGTCTATCTAAAAAGGCATGATAGCAGCTGTGCTTAAAAGAAAGTACTGGGTGGAGGTGTGGCTCAAGTGTGTCGGGGCTGTCTAATAAATGTGAAGCCTTGAGTTCAAACCCCAAGTACTGCCAAAAAATTAAAAAGAAGAAGGAAATACTGAGTGTTTGTAAGTGTCTCCTTCTCAACTTGGGTGGATGGCTACTGGTCTTCTCTTTATAATCACGTGTTATATTGGACTCTTATGCTCTAATTGACTTTCTGCATATATTTGACATTTTAAATTCATAAATGAGCATTTATGAATCAATGCTGGATTTATTTCTATACTACGTGTTTTTAATTGCATACACTGTGAATGCATAATTTTCAGAGTAAACAACAAAGATTATCCCTTTTAAGAATTATGCATATATGCTTTTTCAAAATGAAAATTCACATTTGAACACCTCAATAGGAAATGACCAATGTAGCTGCTATGTTTCGTGTTAGAATTTTTATCACTGTGATAAAATACTTGGCATAAACAACGTCAGGGAAGGATTTTTTTGGTTCATGGTATCAGAGGCTTCAGTCCATAGCTCTTGGCTCCTTTGATTCTGGGTCTGTGGTGAGGCAGAGCATGTGGCAGAGGCTGTTCACCTCAGACAGGAAGCAGAGACAGAGAGGGGCCCAGGACAAGGGGCAGCCCCAGTGACCCACCCCCAGTGACCTAGTTTCTATACGAGTCCTACCTCCTAAACGTCCTACCACCTCCCAAAAATAGCTCCACCAGATAGAAAATAAGCCTTCAATACTTGAGCCTTTTGGAGAGGGACACATAACATACAAACCATGACATACTTGGATCTGGAATGTCTTCCAAAGGCCCCTGTGTTAAAGACCTGGTCCCCAGCTTCAGGTGCTATTGGAAGGTGGTAGAAATTTGAAGGGATAGCGCCTAGCCAGAGGTCTTCCCCATCATTGGGGTTGTGTGCTGAAAGAGAATGAAGGACCTTCATCTCTTTCTCTCGTATTCCAGCCATGATTTGAGCAGCTTCTTCCACCACAAGCTCCCTACCATGTTGTGCTGCCTTGCCACAGGCCCAAAAGCAATGGGGACTGTTAGACATAGACAAGAACCTCCAAAACTGTGAGGCCTAAAAATAAACCTTTTCTCTTATAAGCTAATTATCCAACATATTTATTACAATGATAGAAAGCTAACATGGTACTTACAGGCAATCAACATCAAGATATATTGTAAGAACTTTTGTAAATGTCACAGTGCACCCCCAATACAACAATAGTATGTAAGAAAAAAATAGAAAATATCTAAATGATGAAGAAATATATAGTACATTTAATTTTCCAAGCAACTAAAATTATATATAAAAATAAGATAACATTTTATTATAACCAATTTTACAAACCTTAAATTTACATGTTCAAACAAAAATTGCTCTATTAAATAAAAGGATTTAAAGAAAACATAGAGTGGGTGGGAGCACAAGGCACATATTGTCAGTAAGCTCTCACGGAGACATAAATTGTAAAACCTTTCAGGAAGAAAATTCAGCAGTGTACTCAAATGTGTGAGAGTTCTACCAATCCTTGATTCAAAAATTCAAGCCCAAACAGTTTAAGAAAATAATCTTCAAAGATATAGGTGCAAGGATATTAATGGTGCAAAAACGAATGTTAATATAAATAACGAGCAAACAGGGTTTAGTAAAATGTATTGAATGAGCTTTAGTGAATTGCTTTTAAAGCATTAAATGCAGTGAATACACTGAAGCTCTTAGAAACACTACTGATAGAGTATTAACTAGCAAATTCCAGTGTCTAAGACATATTTTTCAATGGGGGAAAAACAGGATAGGTGACAAATGCTATCTGCAATATACTATTATGTTAAAATGAGAGTGACAGTAATTGACTGTGATTAATGTAGAGCTGTTACAAGGAGTGAATCAAAATGTATCACTAATTTTCTGCGTAATGGCACCATTTCTTTTACCTCTTTGGTCTTGCTGTCTAATTATATTTGTGACTTCTTGTTTGCTCCCTGGCTTACAAAAACCTACTCAATCAGCGGGCGCCAGTGGCTCACGCCTTCAGGAGGATCACGGTTCCAAGCCAACCCGGGCAAATGGTTCACGAGACCCTATCTGGAAAAAACCCACGACAAAAAAAAGGGCTGGTGGAGTGGCTCAAAGTGTAGGCACTGAGCTCAAACCCCAGTGCCGCAAAAACAAACAAACAAACAAACAAAAACCCTCCTTGATTTAGAGCAATGGTGTTAGGTTTTTGGTTTTGGTTTTTCTTTTTCCCGGTACCAGGGCTTGAACTCCTGGCCTTTACCCTGAGCCACTCCACCAGCCCACTTTTTTGTGATAGGGTTTTTCGAGATAGGGTCTCGCGAACTATTTGCCCAAGCTGGCTTCGAACTGTGATCCTACTGATTTCTGCCTCCTGAGTAGCTAGGATTACAGGCGTGAGCCACCGGCGCCCGGCTTAATGGTATTTGTTTTTGTCCATTAACTTATTTCAAACGGATTTCCATGGTGCATGGCTGCACCTAGTAGGTGCTCAACAGTCCTTTGCTGATAATTGCAGGGGACGTGAGTCTACCATGGTTCACCATATGCTGGCATCACCGTCAGTCAAACAAGTGCACAGCGATGACACTGGCCCCCACCAACCTACCTTTACTGCCTGGAACTCAGGGCTCCACAGCTGAGGGGACAGGGGTGTACTCAGAGGCACTTCAGTAGCCTCCAAACGCTGGAAACTACACGTCCCAGAAGGCTTTGGTCCGCTCGTGGACTACATTTCCCAGGGGAAGTAGCGGCCGCGCGACCCCCGCCGGACCCCAGTCCCGCGCATCGTGCCCGTCGTGTACCTTCAAGGTGATGAGCATCTGGCCGGAGCGCGGGTATAGAGCCGAGGTTGCGCGGGCGGAGGCCGGGCCCAGGGGGCACCCGAGCCCGGGGAGGTGCGGGACGGGGATTGCGGGAGGCGGATCAGGGCCTCGGGAGGATGCGGGGACCCTGCCCGAGACTCGCTTAGAGACCAGCCTGTCGCCTTCACAGCCAGCCGTCCGCGACGCCGCCTGGACGTGTGCGGTCGGCGCTCGGTCCCGGTTCGCCCCAGCGCAGCCTCCCGCCTCCTGAGCCCCGTCCCGGCGCGTTCCCTGCCCGCGCTGCCGGCTTGGAGCGGCCGCGGCCGCGGTCACGCGTGGGAAACGCGGTCCTCCCCGGGGAGCCAGGCGCCCGCCCCCCACGCCAGAGCCGGGACCAGAACCAGAACCAGGTCTTCCTTTTCTGGGCCGGTCCCCGCCGGGCATGGGGAAGCGCTCAGAAGTGATGGGGAGGTGAGCGTGGGAGTGCGAGCTTGCAGTCGGGAAACGCGGTGTATTTAAGGGATTGCAAGGAATTCATCCTGGCTGAAGCTCAGGGGATGTACAGGAAAAGAGACCAGAAGGGAAATGAGATTGAAGACTCTGTAAGGGTCACATCGTAAGTGCTTCGGTGCAGTTCCAAGAGAGTTGAACTGTTCAGGGGATGACTGGAAGTATTTGAGAATTTAAATAAAGCATTATGTAATCCCTGATAGTTGACAAAAGCAAACTTCCTTTTGGTGGTAGGATCTTATTGCATTTATTGATTTCTTGTGGAGGTGGTGGTGGTGGTAGAGAGTGCTTCATTCATGCTGTGCAAATGTAGTTGAAGAGGAGATCTTTCTCAGTAACTGCTTTGGAATCTGTTTGAAAATATCATACTACCAACATTTTCTTAAGATTAGAGAATGGGTATGGCAATATCACATTGAAAACAAAGTAGTTGTAAGGAAATATCATTAAGAGTTGAGAAATGGTGGAATAGAACAGATTTTTGAAAACCATTTTTATTGAGCTGGGTGTGATGACACACACCTGAAATGTACCACTCAGGAAGCTGAGGCAGGAGGATCTCAAGTTCAAGGCCAGCCTGGGCTGCATAGTGAGACCCTGTATCAAAAAATGGTAACAATTATGCCTTCTATTTAGCCCTTTACATTTCAGACTGCATGTACATTTTTTATCATCACAAATAACACTAAGAGGTCATCCAGAGAAACGCTGTTAATCCCATTTTACAAATGTGAAGACAAATGTAAACTGAGTGACTTAACACCACTAAGTAAGTGGTAACACTTGCATAAAACCCAGGCCAGTTGATATGGTTACTCTTTCACTGTGCCATCACTGCCTCCAGGAAAAGGGAACGTGAAGATAAGACTTAATGCCAACCTTTAAGAGCTTAGTATGTTAGTGTATTTTTCTGGCATAGTCTGTAGACAGTTCCTATTGCTGTGGAACATGTAAGGGCTCACTCTTTCACCCCAAAGTTGCAATGAAGACAACATTTTGTGGCTTTTAAGTGGTTGGTAGTAGTTTTCTGTAATGTAGCTCTCCCTGTTGAATTAAAAGCAAAAAAGCACAAGCATCTGTTCTTTTGAAATGGCCTTCCTGAGTTCCTTTAATCCTCTAGCTTTTAATGTCTTCCTTTAAATTTGGAGACTTGCCTATTACTAAGGCTTTGCTCCTTTCAGGCTCACCTCTCTTTTTTTTTTTTTTTTTAATGGTGGTACTGGTATTTGAATTAGGACCCCATACTTGCAGGTGCTCTACCACTTGAGCAATCCCCCCAGCCCCTCTGGCTTACCTCTTGAGCTACAGGTTTTTTTAATTTGGCAGGTGGTACATGCTTTTTACTGAATTAAAAGTATATCTTTATAAAAGAAGTTTATAAAACAGCATCTCACATTTTAATGGAATTTGGTTGAAATGTTTTAGTTAAATAGCCAGCTGTGGCTAAACTTAGCACTTTCAGAAAAATGTTTTCCCTAAGTTGTGAAATACAATGCTCATATAGAAAAGTCAATAAAAACACAAATATGTAAGTCCATGAACTAATTATAAAGAAACACCTTCATCAGCACTGCCTAGGTCAAGAAATAAATATTACCAATAATGCCAGGAACCCTTCTCATATTTCCAACCTTTTCTGTCCTGGAGAAAACACTCTTCTTAGTTATGGCAGGCACAGACTCATTTTTCTTTTAATTATGTGAACAGTGGAAGATACTTTACATGTTCTACACCCATCCTGTAAATAATGCTTATTTTATGGTTTTGCTGTCTGCGGACCCAGAAAGTAAATTTAAATTCAGTCCTGTTAAGTGTATTTAATGAGGTTTTTTTTCTTTGTTCAGTTGGGACCACCACAACCTCCAGGGTACCTCTTTATACTTTGGCTGTACTGGAGTTTGAACTCAGGACCTCATACTTGCTAGGCAGACGCTGTCCCACTTGAGCCACTCTGCCAGCCCACCTCTTCATATTTGATGTGTCTCATGCTACAGTTGAAACTGGATACTTAATTCAGGTTGCCAGAGTTTGTTAGGCAATCTAGATTTGTAAGTGTCTTAATTCAGCTTAAATGTGAAACTAAGTGTTTGCAAAATGAATAATTAGCTTTCAGGTACAAAGAAAGCTATATAATTATGTTCTAAAAGTCTACTTAAATCAGTGAAATCTTAGGCCTTGGTTTTCTTAGAAACAGTATTTTCCAACCTGTGATAAATAGAAAAAATGATGTAATGAAACTCTAGGTACTTACTTATCCTCCATCTTCAGCATTCTGCTTTTTTCTCGGGGGTGGGAGGGGTGCAGTTATTGGGGGTGTAACTGCTGTTTGCAGCTTCGAGCTTGCAAGGGAAATGCTCTACCTCTTGAGCCACACATCCAGTGCATTTTGCTCTGGTTATTTTGGAGATGGAGTCTGTGATCCTCCCTGATGTGATCCTCCCTGATGTCAGCCTCCCAAGTGTCTAGGATTACACATGTGAGCCACTGGTGTCCCGCATTTTGCTTCATCTCACTCTCCCTCTCTACACACACTTCCTCCCGCCCTGAGTATTTTAAAGCACCTCTCACTTTACCTATACATTTAACCCTAACTTCAAAGCTAGGCAAAAAGTAGCAATAATTCCATCATATTTAATACCCATTTTATTTCTTGTGTTTCTAGTTGTCTCAAAAAAATCATTTTACCATAGCCCTCATTTTACCATAGTCCTTTGGAATAAAGTTCCACGTTGTATGCACACATTGTATTTGGTTGTTATAACTCTTTAAGTCTCTTAAAATAGCTATTTTAAATTTTGCTTGGACTCAGTGCAATCCGCACAAACTAGTGTGACTGTTCATGTAAGGAAGTACAGTGTTCTTGTATGATATGGAGGAATGTGTAGACCAAATCTCATCAAAAGTAGAGTTGTTCCCTCACCTGGGGAATAAGACATCCTCATTCCTGCCATCAGTTGTACTTCTCATGTTGTAGATTGTGCATGGGGGGTTGTGTGTTTATGAACTAGCCCATTGACTCAACCCAAGCCTGATCAATAAGATGAAAAGCTAGTTTCTTTCCTCTTTAAGTAACTTTTGTGTTCTTCAAACATATGCTTTTGGTCCTCTTTGTTCTTAAAGAAATGCTTTAAGTAATATAAAAAGGTTTGTGCACATTTTTTAAAAGATGCACTACCTAAATTTATGCTACATTTTAGAGATGATATGTGATAGTTTTTGTTCATGGTGTTGGGGATTGAACCCAGGGCCTTGGACCTGCTAAACAAGTGCTTTACCAGTGAGTTACATCCCTAGTTCTTGATGCATTCTTTAGAAAATCACTTCAAATTGCCGGTAAAGTTTTGTACATATTTCTAGTATTTTTACATGCTACTTCCTAAGTAACTAACTATATCATATGTTCTATAGAAGTAATAGTTTTTGAATTTCTGTATTGTGGTCTTTCATTGACTGTTTGGCTTATATGTAGTGTCTTCCCTTGGAGAGGATATGTTTTCATGGTAGAGGAACATTGGCTGGCTTAAAGATTCGTTTGTGCCAGGCCACTTCCCATAATAATGAATTAGATGTTTGCTTGTAAGCTTAGCAGATATTTCATGTGCATATATATTGGAAAACTTGACAAAACATTGTCTGAATTTATTTTTAGGCTTCCTGGTAACACAAGAAATGGCTTCATAACATTTGACAGCAGAATTCATTTCTACAGTCTTCAAGAAGGTCTCTCCCAAGCACAGATGCTGATAGTTTCAGACATTAAAGGTATGTGTTTTACACTTACATTTATTAAACTGCTTCAGGAATTTTCCATGATTTTTCATGACCATTTGACAAGTCAGCAGTATATGGTATGTGCTTATTCTGTAAAGGAAAGTCTTGACTATAAAGTTATTAGATTGTTGGAGTTGTAAGATTCCTTCAGTCCAATCTCTCTCTTTAGAAATGAGGAAACGAAACAAGTTAATCCTAAGTTTATTAAATTTAGCCTTCTTTTTCCTTCTCTTTCATTTAAGAAGTGTGTTGAGGGCTGGGAATGTAGAGCACTTGCCGAGCACGTACAACACTCTGTTCAGCCCGGCACCAGTGGTTCTTACCTTTAATCCTAGCTACTTGGGAGGCTGTCCCAGGCAAATAGTTTGCCAGACCACATCTCAACCTATAGTTGGGCTCAGTGGCACACACCTGTCATCTCAGTGACAGTGGGAACCCTAAATAGGATGATAGCAGTCCAGACCAGCCTGGGCAAAGATCCATACCCTATCTCCAAAGGAACCAGTGCCAGAAGACCTGGAGGCATTTCTCAGGTGGTAGAGGATCTGCCTCACAAGTACAAAGCCTTGAGTTCAGAATGTGGGTATGGCATGAGGAGTACAGCACTTGGCTGGCAAGCATTAGGCCCTAAGTTCAAACCCTGGTGCCACAAAAAAAAAAACAAAAATACCTCTGATTTCAATCCCAGTGGCACAAAAGCAAAGCCAACAGCATAAGCTTTTGAGGACATGGACACCCTAAAGTTGTATAGCAAGCTTAAAAATAAACCTAATGTAAATTTTTTTCCTCACATTCTTCAATTGATTTTTGACAGCATTGTCAAGACCATTCATGGGGGGAATGATGGTCTTTTCAAGAATGATTGTGGATAGCCAAGTTATGGAAACAGCCAAGATGCCCCAGCACTGACGAATGGATTAAGAAAATGTGGTATCTATACACAATGGAATTTTATGCAGCCATGAAGAAGAACGAAATGTTATCATTCGCTGGTAAATGGATGGAATTGGAGAACATCATTCTGAGTGAGGTTAGCCTGGCTCAAAAAACCAAAAATCGTATGTTCTCCCTCATATGTGGACATTAGATCAAGGGCAAACACAACAAGGGGATTGGACTATGAGCACATGATAAAAGCGAGAGCACACAAGGGAGGGGTGAGGATAGGTAAGACACCTAAAAAACTAGCTAGCATTTGTTGCCCTTAATGCAGAGAAACTAAAGCAGATACCTTAAAGCAACTGAGGCCAATAGGAAAAGGGGACCAGGGACTAGAGAAAAGGTTAGATCAAAAAGAATTAACCTAGAAGGTAACACTCACGCACAGGAAATCAATGTGAGTCAATGCCCTGTATAGCTATCCTTATCTCAACCAGCAAAACCCCTTGTTCCTTCCTATTATTGCTTATACTCTCTCTACAACAAAATTAGAGATAAGGGCAAAATAGTTTCTGCTGGGTATTGAGGAGGGGGAGCGGGAGGGGGTGGAGTGGGTGGTAAGGGAGGGGGTGGGGGCAGGGGGGAGAAATGAACCAAGCCTTGTATGCACATATGAATAATAAAAGAAAAATGAAAATAAATAAATAAATAAATAAATATATATGTATTAAAAAAAAAAAGAATGATTGTGGAAACTAGACATGCAAAAGTGTGAAGCTGGATGCATACCTTGTACCATTTAAGGAAAATTAACTAAAAATGGATTAAAGACTGAACTTAAGAGCTAAAAATACAAAACATAGGGAAAATCTTCATGACATCCTAGAGCTAACACCAAAAGCACAGGCAGTAGAGTTGAAAGACACCTACTTGGATTTTATTAGTATTAAAAACTTTTGTGCACAGGGTGTAATGATACAAGCCTGTCATCCTAACTACATAGGAAGCAGAAGCAGGAAGATCATAAGTCTGAGGCCAGCCTGGGCAGAGTTAGTAAAGCCTAACTCAAAATAAAATTCATGTGGTATGGCACTTTGCCTGGCATGTGCAAGGCTCTGGGTTCCATCCTGAGTACTTAAAAACAACAGCCTTTTGTGGCTCAAGATGTAGCTCAGTATTAGAGGGCTTGCCTTGTATATACAGAGCCTTGGGGTCCATCCCTGGTACTGCAAAAGAAAAACAGAAAGAACAAGCTTTTGTACATCAGAAGACACTATCCAGAGAGAGAAAGCAGCCCACAGAATGGGAGAAAAATTTACAAATGATATATCTAATATGGAATTTGTTATGCACAACACATAAAGAACTATATCTCAAAAACAAAAAAAATATTGAAAACTGGGTAGACAACTGGACTAGACATTTTTTCATAAAAGATATACAAATGGACAATATGGACATGAAAAATGCTCAACATCTTTAATCATTGGGGAAATGTAAGTCAAAATCACAATGAGAGTTGGGGATGTAGCTTAGTGGTAGAGTGCTTGCTTTGCATCTTAGAGACTCTAACTTCAATCCTCACAACAAAAAACAAAACAAAAATCCTTCTGTGAATTATTTGTGACCAAAAAATATTTTTAAAAAAAATCGAAAACTCACAATAAGTTAACTTCACATCCATCAGAAGGACGACTAGTTTTTAAGAATGGAAAAAAACAAGTGTTGGCAAGGCGTGGCAATGTTGCAATCCCTGTGCATTGATGATGGGAGTAGAAAATGGTACAACTGCTATGGAAAACAGTTTTGTAGTTCCTTAGAGTTATCATAAAATCAGCATATGATTTCCTAATTCCACTTCTCATTTTAGACCTGAAAAAAATAAAACAGAGACTTAATGGATCATTCTTCATCGTTCATAACAACATTATTCAGAATAGTCAAAAGCTGGAAACACCCCATGTAGCCATCAACAAGTGAATGAATAAACAAAATATGGTATAAACATAATAGAATTTTATTCAGCCTTAAGAAAGAATAAATTTCTGATACATGATACAACACGGATGAAACAAAGATTTTACTAAGTGAAATAAGCCTGACATAAAAGGAAAAATATAATCTGTGATTCTACTTATATGAAGTATGTAGAAGGAACAAATTCATAAGAGACAGAAAATAAGATGGAGATTACTAGGAGCTGGAGGGAAAAGGAACAACGGTATTGTGAGTGGGTACAGAGTTTCTGTATGGAATGATGAACAGTTTCTGAAAATAGACGATGATTACACAGCATTGTGATACATCAAATGCCACTGAATTGTACACTTCAAAATAATTAGGATGATGATTTTTATGTATTGTGTATATTTTATCACATAAAAAAATTAACTTGGGCTGGGATTTAGTTCAAAGGTTCAGCACTTACCTACCTTGCATGAGGCCATGGGTTTAATACTTAGCACTACAGAAAAAATTAATAGTTACTGAAAGTGGCTCATAGAGCCTAGTGTTAGACTAAAAGTTTAAAAGTTCTAGGAGAAAGAAAACATAGGAATGAATCTTGGATTCCTGATACATCATCAAAAGTATTGTTAGCAAAAAGGGAAAAAAAGTGTATAAATTGGGCTTCTTCAAAATTAAAGAGGTTTGTGCTTTATAGAACATCATGAAGAAGCCAGGTGTGGCGGTATAGCCTGAAGTCCCAGCACTCAGTAGGTGGAGATAGGAAGATCACACGTTCAATGACAACTTGGTCTACACAGTGAGACTGTCTCAAGAAAATGAACAGAAATAACATCACTAAGAAAGTGAGAAAACACACTGAGAGTATAGCTCAGTGGTAGAGCATTTGCCTAGCATGTACAAGGCCCCAGGTTTGATCCCCAGTGCCATAAAAACTAAAGTGGAAAGACAGCCTACAGAATGGGAGAAGATATTTGCAAATCACATCTGATACCTAGATTTCCTAAATAGCTTATACAGTTTAACAATTTTAAAAAAAGCCCAATCAATGCTTGGATAAAGGATTTGAATACACAATATGTAATAGTCAGTATTCTTAAGACTGGAGATGTAGCTCAGTGGTAGAGCATGTGCCTAGCTTATACAAGGCTCTGTGGTTCAATCCCCAGCACTTCCAAAAATATCTACAGATGAATTTGACCAATGCTCTACATCCTGACTATCAGGCAAATACAATGAATTGTGGCCTCATAGCAAGTAGGGTGGCTAAGATTCAAGAGGGGGACAATAGCAAGTACTGGTGAGGATAAGGAAACATTGGGATGCTCATACACTGCTAGGAGAATGTGAAACGGAGCAGCCACTGTGGAAAACAGTCTGGTAGTTCCTCACAGTTAAACAGAGTTACCATGTGATCCAGCAGTTCCACTCAGTAGATATATACAAAAGAACATTGACAGCATGTCTGTAAAAATTAATACGTGAATGTACATAATAGGAACCAAAAAGTGGAAACTACTCAGTTGTCATCTGATGAATAGATAAACAAAATGTGGTCTCGTCCTACAATGGGATGTGATTCAGATGAATCTTAAACATTTGCTGACAGAATGGAGTCAATCACAGAAGACCACATAAGCGTTGTCCTCTTTATGTGAAATGTCAGAACATACAACTCCACAGGGACAGAAACCAGATTAGCTGCCAGGAACCTGGGGGAAGGGAACTGGGAGTAACTGTGAGTGGTTACAGTGTTTCTTGTTCAGGCGGTGAAAAAGATCTGTAATTACATGAGATGGTGGTTGTACAACTTTGGGAATAAGTCACAAATAAGAGAACTAATTTTTGTTATTTTTGCAACAAAACAAAGCCTATCCCATGCCTTTGTGCAGGCTAGACTTGTGCTCTGTCACTGAACTACATCCCCGGTCTAGAACTGTACTCTATATGATGATGAGCTTTCTGATATATGAACTATATCTTGATAAAGCCATTAGAAACCTTTTTTGTTTTTATTTATTCATTATTTGTTTGTTTCTGAGACAGGGTCTTGCTTGGTAGCCCAGACTGGCCTAGAACTCATGATCTTCCTGCCTCTGCCTTCAGGCATGCATCACCATGCCCAGCTTCTAAGACACTGGTAAAGTAAAATGAAAGCCTGAAGAGTAGACATGAAACATTTTGAATTATTCACTGTTAGTATTTTTATAAGTTCCTTAATAATTGTTGTTTTTGTAACACTGGTTTTCCTTTTCCTGAGAGCCCCCTGAAGTAGTCAGAAGACCTGTTCACTTGATTTTGTAAGCACCTCAGTGGGGCCTGAATGTGAGCCGTCTTCATCAGGAAGCATCTGCATTTTAAAGGTCAGATGTGTTGGTGAACTGTACTTTGTATATGGCAGCATTCATGTGTGTCATGTTAATTACCTTTTAAAATCTTTATTCATGTCCCCCCTCCTCCCTTTCCTCCTTCCCGATGTACCCAATGCCTTGTTTCTAATATCTTTAGCAGGCCACTATAATCCAATCTGGCTTTGATAAGAAAGTCTGGGAAACTAAGGAAATACACTTGCTAGGAACAAGGTGGAACCTAGATGACCAGTTAGCAGTGGCCAAGATTTGCTAGACTGGCAATTGCTTTTGAGCAACTTATTTGAGACATACATTTTCCAAAAGATGAGAGAGAAGCCAGTATCTTATCCTGTTAATGTAAGAGACCCTCATAGAAAATCCTTTTCTTTGTCTGTTTTTCTTTTCTTTTAAAAAAATTTTTAGTGCTGTTGAAGATCAAACTCAAAGCCTTTTTCATGCTAGGTAATGTTGCTACCATTGTGCTACATCCCTAGCGGTAAAAAGTTCATAGGAAATTCTTAAGCAGCTCATTTTTTAAAATTTATTATTTTTTTATTGTACTGTATATTGTGACATCTACAAAAGTTCTTACAATATATCATGGTTGAATTCACACCTACCCAGCAAGGGTGAGCCCTGAGTGTAAACCCCAGTACTGCCAAAAAAATATCCCCAAAGAAACACATGTAGAGGTGAATCAAGGATATTACAATTGTTATACACATATGTGGATGTGTATTTACATTTCTGATAATAATTTTTTAAAATTT